CACCTTGCGCCTCTCTCCATCCCCGCCCCCCCCAGGGACCCCCCATCCCCAGGGACCCCCAGCCCTGAGATCCCACCAGGACCACCTTGGGGCTCTCTCCATCCCTGATCCCTGTTGGGATCTCCCATCCCCAGGGATCCCCCAGCCTCAAGGACCCCCCAGCCCTTGGGGCTCTCTCCATCCCTGTTGGGATCCCCCATGCCCAGTGACCCCCAGCCCTTGGGACTCTCTCAATCCCCGATCCCTGTTGGGATCCCTCATCCCCAGGGACCCCCCAGCCCTTGGGGCTCTCTCCATCCCCGATCCCTGTTGGGATCCCTCATCCCCAGGGACCCCCCAGCCCTTGGGGCTCTCTCCATCCCCGATCCCTGTTGGGATCCTCCTGGGCCTCTCTCCACCCCTGGACCTATTTGGGACCCCACATTCCCGGGATCCACTGACCTGCCTCCATCCCCAGGACCCCACCAGGAACCCCTTGACTTTGGAGCTGTCCCCACCCCTGATCCCCACTGGAATCCACTCTCCTCGCGATCCCTGGAGCCCCCCAAGCCCAGTGACCCCTCATTCCTGAGGGATTCTTGCTCCCTGGGAATGTCCCCATCCCTGGACTCCACTGGGATCTCCCATTCCAGAATCTCCAGAAGGAGTTTCCCCGTTCCCTGAGAATTTTTGGGGTCCTTTGACCCTTCCTGGCCCCACACAGGTGACAAACCTCCCAGGGAGGGGGACAGAGGCCCCTCTTGTCCCCAGCCCATCCCAGAGATATCTCCTGCAAGGAAGCCACAGTTTTCCATATTTGGGGGCCTTTTTTATTATTTTTTTTAATATTTTGAGGGATTTTTTATGTTTTTGAAAAGCTTTATGTTTTGAGTATTTTTTTTTATGCTTCAAGGACTTTTTAAAAATGCTTTGAAGATTTTTGCACCGCTTGGGAGATTTGAGGATTTTTTTTATGTTTGTTTAAAATGCTTTTGGGTTTTTTGGGGGTTTTTCTTTGCAAGTTTTGGGTTTTGGTTTTTTGTTTTTGTTTTTTTTTTTCGGGTTATTTCCGTGTTTGCAATCCTATTTTTGAGGAAGTTTCTTGCTTCCCATAAACCACGAGCCTGTGCCCAGCCACCTGCAGAGGAACAGCGCTGGCTGGCGGGAGGTGGGGACAGAGGTGACCTCCCAGGGGGTGGGGACAGAGGTGACCTCCTGGGAGATGGGGACAGATGTGACCTCCCAGGGGGTGGGGCAGAGGTGACCACCCAGGGGGTGGGGACAGAGGTGACCTCCCAGAAGGTGGGGACAGAGGTGACCACCCAGGGGGTGGGGACAGAGGTGACCTCCCAGAAGGTGGGGACAGAGGTGACCACCCAGGGGGTGGGGACAGAGGTGACCTCCCAGGGGATGGGGACAGAGGTGACCTCCTGGGAGATGGGGACAGAGGTGACCACCCAGGGGGTGGGGACAGAGGTGACCACCCAGAAGGTGGGGACACAGTGGACACCGTGTGACGAGGGGAAACTGAGGCAGCCCCTGCAGCTCTGCTGCCCTGTTTCCATCCCCGGCTCTGAGGTGGGGACATGGGTGTGGCACGGGGCTGGTGACAGCTGCGGGGTCACCTCTGTCCCTCTGCAGATGATCTCCATGGTGATGGTGGCCGTGGGGGTCTACGCCCGGCTGCTGAAGCACGCAGGTGAGCTCGGGGGTGGTTCCCTGCCGGTTCTGGTGCTCTGGGGGCTGTCATGGGGGGTCCTGGGGGTGCTGGCAGTGCCGGTGACAGCTCTGGTGACAGAGGCAGCCATGGCGTGCCTGGCGGTGGACCCCGCCGTCCTCCTCATCATGGTGGGCGTCCTCACCTTCCTCATCACCTTCTGCGGCTGCGTCGGCTCCTTGCGGGAGAACATCTGCCTGCTGCAGATGGTGAGTCCTGCCGGGGCTGGGGGACCTGGTGGCATCTCGGTGTCCCCTCCCGTGGTCCCCTCACCGTCACATTCCTTTTCCTGCAGTTCTCCGTCTGCCTGACCATCATCTTCCTCCTGCAGCTGGCGGCCGGCGTGCTGGGCTTTGTCTTCTCCGATAAGGTACCGAACCCAGAGGGTGGGATGGGGAGCCCAAACCTGGTGGGGGTGATGGGTGACCCCACTCATGCCACCCGCCGGGTGACAGCCTCGCTGGTGTCCCCCAGGCACGTGGGAAGGTCAGCGAGATCATCAACGGGGCCATCGTGCATTACCGGGATGACCTGGACCTGCAGAACCTCATCGATTTTGGGCAGAAGGAGGTGACCGGGGTGGGGGTCTGCAGGGTTGGGGTGTCCCTCCAATGGATCAGGACATGTCCCCACTTCTTAAATCTGTGGGGTGGCACAGCTTGGGGACATTGGATGGCTCTGGCAAGAGGATTTGATGTTTGTGGTGATGTCCTGCATGGGCAGGGCGAGGCTGGGGAGAGCTGGGGGCACCAACAGCCCTGAGTGTGCTGTCCCCCTGCCACGGGCTGCTGTCCCCTCCGCGCCGAGCCCCGTGTCCTGCCCGCAGTTCAGCTGCTGCGGGGGTGTCTCCTACAAGGACTGGTCCCAGAATGTGTATTTCAACTGCACGGCCACCAACCCCAGCCGTGAGCGCTGCTCCGTGCCCTTCTCCTGCTGCCTGCACGACACCGAGCAGGTCAGTCCTGGGGTGGCCTCGGGGGACACTGCCCTGTGCCCGTCCTGCTGTGCCCTGGGGCTGTGCTGGCCCTGGAGCCCTGCCCTGTGCCCTGGGGCTGTGCTGGGCCTGGAGCCCTGCCCAAGGGGAGAGAACACGCTGGTGGCAACAGATGGGTCCCATCTCATTTTTGGGGTTTGGGTTCTCCTGTCCTACCTTCTGGGTTTGGATTCCTCCATCCCACACTCTGGGTTTGGATTCCCCCATGCCACACTCTGGGTTGGGTTCCCCATCCCACTTTTGGGGTTTGGGTTCCCCATCCCACTTTTGGGGTTTGGGTTCCCCATCCCACTTTTGGGTTTTGGGTTCCCCATCCCACTTTTGGGTTTGGGTTCCTCCATCCCACACTCTGGGTTTGGATTCCCCCATGCCACACTCTGGGTTTGGGTTTCCCATCCCAACATCTGGGTTTGGGTTCCCCATCCCACTTTTGGGTTTTGGGTTCCCCATCCCACTTTGGGGTTTGGGTTCCTCCATCCCACACTCTGGGTTTGGATTCCCCCATGCCACACTCTGGGTTTGGGTTTCCCATCCCAACATCTGGGTTTGGGTTCCCCCATGCCACACTCTGGGTTTGGGTTCCCACACTCTGGGATTGGGTTCCCCATCCCAGCCTTGGGCTTTTGGGGACATTTCCTGGGTGGAAATGCTGTGGTGAGCCGGGGAGAATTCTCCCTCTCGAGCTGGGATTGGCTCTTTGGGGACAGGTGGCTCTGGAGGGCTGGCCTGGGGACACCGAGGAAGGGGACACCCCACCAAGGCAAGGCCAGAGCTCCTGGTCACCACACGGCTGCCCCCCAAGAACCAGGACCCCAGTGTGTCCTGTCCCCTCTCCCAGGCCGTCATCAACACCATGTGTGGCCACGGGATGCAGGCCAGAGGCTACCTGGAGGCCAGTGCCTTCATCCACACCAACGGCTGCATCGACAAGCTGGTCAACTGGACCCACAGCAACCTCTTCCTGCTGGGGGGCATCACCCTGGGGCTGGCCCTGCCCCAGGTACGGGGCTGGGGCACTGCGGGGGACAAGGCTCCATCCCAAAGCTCTGCTTGTGGGGTTTTTTGGGGGGCTGCCTTAATGGCATTAATCCTAAATGGATTGCCAAATGGGGGAGTTGGGATGGGATTTGGGGTGGGGCAGTGATGCAAATGTCAGGCATGGGGGGAATGGGGTGACACCGCCTGGTGTTGCTCAGTACCTCCCTCTCCCCTTCTCCTTCCTCCCTCTCCCTTTCTGTCCCCACTTCCTCTTCCCTTTCCCCCTTCCTCTCCCATTTCCTTCCTGGTTCCCCTTCCTCTTTCTCTTCCCTTCTCCTCCCTCCCCTGTATCTCATTTCCCCTTTCCCCCTCCCCATCCCCTTCCTCTCCCCATCCCCTCCTTCTCCCCATCCCCTCCCTCTCCCCATCCCCTCCTTCTCCTTATCTATCCCCCTTTCCCCATCCCCTCCCTCTCCCCATTCCCTGCCTCTCCTTATCTATCCCCCTTTCCTCTCCCTATCCCTCCCTCTCCCCTGCAGCTGGTGGGCATCGTGCTGGCGCAGCTCCTCATCAACCAGATCCGTGACCAGATCAAACTGCAGCTCTACAACCAGCAGCACCGGGCAGACCCCTGGTACTGAGCCCCGGCCTCTCCGGGGGCATTCCCGACCCCGGATCCGCGGGAAGAGCCCGAGGGGCTCGGCTGGAGAAGAGGGATGGCGGATCCGCGCTGGCTGCGGAGAGGGAGGCTCCGTGCCTTTGGCAGCCGGCGCTGGGCTCGGCCTGGAGGTGCTGAGCTGAGGCAGCGTCGGGGAATCGCTGTCTGTCCGTCCGTCCGTGCCTCCTGCTGCTGCACAAAGCTTCGCACTGGGATGTGCTTCCCCTCCCCACGTGTGCTGGAGAAGGACGTCTGTCTGTCTGTCCGTCTGTCTGTGCACTGAGCTGCCTTGGCCCAGGCTGGGCTGTGGGACTGGGGACAATCCCCCACAGCCAGGTGTTTGGGGACATTCCCCATGGCTGGGTGTTTGGGGACAATCCCCCACAGCCAGGTGTTTGGGGACATTCCCCATGGCTGGGTGTTTGGGGACAATCCCCCACAGCCAGGTGTTTGGGGACATTCCCCATGGCTGGGTGTTTGGGGACAATCCCCCACAGCCAGGTG